GAGAGGGTTTGGTCGCTGTGGCAGTGGGGAACAACATGGTTTGGTCGGTGGTTTCAGCGAAACATGGAGCGCCGGCGGGAGGAGCCCCTCTGTTCGTTTAGAACCTCTATATTCTTCCCATATATGCGTCTAATAATTTCTTCCTCTCGTTTATTTTCTGCAGCTTGGACGGGAGACACTCTTTTGCATCCTCTCCGTTTGTTTGCAACATCTCTGCTCTTCTCAAGGTATAAACTATTGTACATTCTGCTATGTACTTCTGCCATGAGAAAATAAGCAAGATTTAAAAGCTTTTGCTATGTACTTCTGCCATGAACATGTATTTGTTATGATATTTCAATTAAGTGGACATTGAGCAGATTCATATCAATTTACTATTGTTTCAATGTTGCATTGTAGATGGATATCAAGCAAAAGAGGCTAATATTTGCCTCTTTTACAAGCTGAAATTTATTGGTGATGAGAGATTGTGTGCTGAATATAATGTTCTTACCTCTTTTACTTATATAAATTTATAGTCATGACACATCTGTGCATAACCTTATAGGAAATGGAGGCTAAACAAATTGTATGGACAGCTCCGATGACTTCCTTCATGCTTGATCACCAATGCAAGGTTGTGGGCGATGGAGTTAGAACATCAACTAGCTTCAAGAAGTGCCAATTGGCTCGTTGTGTGACTGCTATGAGTGAGCATTTTCAGCTCAATTTGACTCATGCCAACATTGGTAATCACAATAGGACATGGAGGAGGAAATGGGGAACAATACTCAGACTTAGGGGGTTGAGTGGTGCATTATGGGATGATGAGAAGTCTATGATCGTTCTTAATCATGAGCACTACACTAACCATATTAAGGTATCTCTATATGTCAAGTACAAGATGGAATGTGTTTCTATGTGCCATATACTTGTTAGAAATGGTTTCTATATGCCATTTACTTGATGGAAATTGTTTCTACATGTCAAATATAAGCTGAAATGAGTTTCTTTATGTCAAATACTTGCTGGATCTCATTTGTTTATGCTAAATAGTTGTTGGATATAGTTTCTATATGCCATTAATTACTTGCTAGAATTTGTTTCTACATGTAAAATATAACCTGAAATGAGTTTCTTTATGTCAAATACTTTCTGGATTTCATTTGTTTATGCTAATTAGTTGCTGGATATAGTTTCTATATCCCATTTACTTGCTGGAGTTTGTTTCTACATGTAAAATATAACCTGAAGTGAGTTTCTTTATGTGAAATACTTGCGGGATTTCATTTTTTTATGCTAAATACTTGTTGCTTGTCTACTTGTTGATGTCGTTTTCTTTTTTCTAGAACCACAAAGAGGATGAACCTTTTCTGAACAAGCCTCTGAAGCACTATAATGAGATGGCTATCATTCATGGCAATACTATGGCCACGGGTCAATATACGAAAAGCTCAAATGACCCCCTTGGTACAGAGGTTAATGAAATTTCAGATAATGAGGCTTCCCCACTTGAAGAAGGTAGCAAGTCAAGCAATGGAGGCGATTCAGTGGCTCCCAATCCCAAAAGGGCCAAAACAAAGTCTAGTGTTGATGAGGGGCTGCAATCAACCCTTATGGCAGTGGGTGAAAGGCTTGCTATTGCCATAGAGAGGAGTGTTAGCACTGACAACAGCACCACGAGCATCTCTACGAACAACTCCATGATGGGCCTTTGGGAGGGCATGAAAGATATTCCCTTTTTCGGTATTGATTACCTTGCCCTTTATTTTGCCTACTTGGTTGAGAATCCGAACATTTCAATGGCGTTTAAACTCTTGGAGAAGGACCAAAAGAGTATTTGGGTTGCTAGGTATGTGAAGAACACCTTCCCTCCAATGGATGGTTGAAGATTGTAGGCATGTGTGGTATTTGCATGACCTCTTTTGATATGACCCAACAATATGGACTTTGGGTTGTATGACTTACTTTTGATGTCAACCAGACTATGAACTATGGGTTGTATAACTTAGAGATGATGTACTATTTCGTATCTACATCTCATGCACTACTAGTTTATTATGTATAGTTGCTACTTGTCTAAGATGTTGGACTATGATTATGAAGTTACAGTTTCCTATTTTCGAAATTATTGGTGTTGACATGTTATGTTGGTCTATGATGTTAAAGTTTATTTCTAAATTTGAAAATTAAAGTTGAGCCCAGATTTGATATATCTATATTGCTGAAATTACATATTGGAGGGGTAATCTCACCACCTCATACAAAATGGTGAGGATCACAATCATCCACTCTTTCATCCTCTCAACCAAACACACAACTAGTTATCCCTAGCCACTTGTATCCTTCCTACCAAACAAAATAATGTGGTTATCAACTCACCTAATCCGTCACAACCAAACAACAAAAAATGGCTATCCCCAGCCACATGGTTAAGGATATCCTTAGCCAGTTATCTTCGCTCGTGAACCAAACGCCACCTACATGGACGACCAATGTGCGAGTTAGCTAAAGCTAATGATTCACAATATTGTTCACTGTAGATCTGTACCTGACCGAAGACTAACTATGATTGTCTTTGGTCTTGGCAACGTGCATAGAAAGTCTTGGGCCGCACGCCCACCCCATGGAGCCAGCTGGGAAGTACTAGTACGAGTAGATGAGCTGGGACAAAAGAGGCACATGGGCTTGGCCCCATCAGAGCATATAAAAACATGGAACTTATTGTGCCATTACACGGTACTTTTTCTCCGTCTAGTTAAAATTGATGTCCCACGCTGTAGTTAAGTCCATGATATTAGTCACAATCAAATTCTTTTAATTTTTATACAAGTATGTCAAAAATGTTTCGTAATATAACCGGAGGAAAATGTGGCATTGAAAGGATGAGTACCAAAGGGGCGTGCAGTTCGGGAGTGGGGCCGAAGGAATCTGCAAAACTTGTGGCCTTTTTGTCAGTTTTTTTGACATCAAATAAGACTTTATTTCTCAAACAATAGACATGTCGTTTACAATGAGATGCGAAATAAAGTCAGGGATCACATCCCAAAACCTAGAAACCCTATTCATGAAAGAGTTCTTTGCTAGTTCACCCGCCACTTGGTTAGCTTCTCTATAGCAGTGCTTGAATGATACCGACGCGAAGTCCATCATTAGTTGCTTGCACTCCATGAAGATAGCTATATCCAGCCCCATATAATCATAAATTTGGTTCATCGAGTCCACCACGAATGAAGAATCTGACTCCAGTTCAACAGTGTTACACCCAATATTGGCTGCAAGATAAAGACCATTCCTGATAGCCATTAGTTTAGCGCTGTCCAGCGCGGTTACTACTGGAATGTGCCAATTTGCTGCAGCTATAAAAACACCTTGATCATCCGAGGCCACTGCACCACTTGCACCCGAGGGTGTTTCATATTGGAACGAAGCATCAACATTAATCTTCACTATCCCCCGTATTGGCTTCTTGCACATATGATCAACTGTCCTTGTTGTGCCCTTGGAAGACGCAGATCGCAAGTAATTCATTGTCAGAACTCTAATCGCTAGAGCCGTTTTCGACAAATCTTGGACCTTTATACCTTTGGCGATTTGCCTTCGCTGCCACCAAATGTACCACGTCGCCACTAGTGCAAGTTCTGCCCTTGGTAGCTCATGGTCATTACCCTGAAGTTTAGACAGGATTTCCATTGTGATAGAACCTGATATGTCCTCAGCCATTGCCTCTTCTACGCTTTGCGCCAAGCCAAGCTGTTCCCAGACCGATGTTGCTCGCGAGCAGCTAAACAGACAGTGTTGTATATCCTCTACTCCAACTGAGCAAACTGGGCATTGTCCAGCGCATGGGATATGTTGATTTGCCAATACACCGAGGCAAGGTAGGGAACCATGCAGGACTTTCCAACCAAAATGTTTTATCTTCCCAGGTATCTTCAAATTCCACATATCCTTCCACACTGGGTTGATATTTTCTGAACCTTGCCCGTCACCTCGTCTCCACCACGAGCCATATTGATGCTCAAATTCTTTGTGGTAGGCCGATCGCACGGAGAATGTACCCGACCGTGTGTAGTTCCATGCTACAAAATCTTCCACCAGGTGGGGGTTTAACTGAATTTGTAGTATCATATGAACATCAACCGGTGAGAATATATCCCGGATTAGTTCTTCATCCCATTGTCCCGTATGTGGATTTACCAACTCATCAACCTTTGAAAGCATTGTTTCACCTCTGTGTGTAATCAGTTTTCTAGTAACACTAGATGGTATCCAAGGGTCATTCCAAATATCAATATTAGCTCCAGATCCAACACGCCAACTGCAACCTCTCTTGAAAGTCTGAATACCAGCCATAATGCTCTGCCAAGTGTAAGAAGAGCCTTTTTTGGGTCCAGCCTTCAAAATGTCACCGTCTGGGTAATACTTTGCCTTCAGAACTTGAGCACATAAAGAATCCGGGTTCTGGATTAGTCGCCAGCAATGTTTTGCTAATAAATCAAGATTAAAACTGTGCAAGTCTCTAAACCCTAGTCCCCCTTCCTTCTTCGGAATGCACAACCTCCACCAGGCAAACCAATGCATTTTCTTCTTCTCTTCATCATCTACCCACAAAAAGCCAGCAATTTCATCAGTAATAGATTTGCAGATTCCTTTTCTAAGTTTGAAAACAGACATTGCATAGGAAGGAATCGCTTGGGCAACCGATTTTACCAATATCTCTTTGCCTTGCATCGAGAGTGTTTTCTCTTTCGACCCCTTCAGCCTCTGACAAACCCTATCAATCAAGTGTTGAAAACAGTCGCTTCTGTCCACCCCTACCATAGTAGGTAGGCCCAAATATGTATCAGATAGAGCTTCTGTCACAATATTCAATTCGCTGCAAATATTTTCCATGGTTTGGACATTTGTATTCGGGCTGAAATATATGCTTAACTTTGTGTTGCTGATCAGCTGCCCCGAACTAGAGCAATAGGTCTCCAAGACTCTTTTTAAAGTATTTGCATTATGAGTATCCGCCTTCATCGGAATCAGAGAGTCATTTGCAAATAAAAGATGTGAAATTGAGGGGGCATTCCTGCATACACGCACGCCATCTAATCCACCCATTTCCTATTCATGAGCAAGCATACTTGATAGACCTTCAGAACACAATAAAAATAGATAAGGTGATATGGGGTCACCCTGCCTCAAGCCTCTTGTAGGAGAAAACTCATCAGTTTCGGTGTTGTTAAATCTGACTCTGTAGGTTACTGAGGACACACACTCCATGATGAGCTCCACCCATTGTGCATGAAACCCCATTTGCAACATTATCTTCTCCAAAAAGCCCCATTCAACCCGGTCATAAGCTTTATTCATATCCAACTTCACCGCACAGAGCCCATTTGATCCATGTGTTTTTTTCTTGATTGCATGGAAACATTCATAAGCTACCAACATGTTATCAGTGATTAATCTTCCCGGTACAAAGGCACTTTGTGTTGGAGAAATAATATCAGGGAGAATCCGCTTAAGTCTATTTGCAATCATTTTTGAAATGATTTTATAGACCACATCACACAAGCTTATTGGTATGTACTATGTTCTCACCTCGGGGGAATTTACCTTGGGTATGAGAGTCACGTTCATTGAGTTCCAGCCTGTAGGGATCTTTCTATGATGTATAGCATTCAGCACCTCATCTATCAGCTCCTCTCCCACAATGTGCCAGAGTCTTTTAAAGAAAATAGCGTGAAGTCGATCCGGGCCCGGGGCCTTCAGATCACCTATTTGGAACAAGGCCTTGCGAACCTCCTCCCTGGTATACTCGGCCAAAAACATATTATTCATATCATTGGTCACCACAGGTTTTACAGAATTTAACAAGCCCTGATCTACCTCCCCCATATCTAAAGTAAATAGGCCCTGAAAGTAATCACGAATCAACGGCTTCAAGTTGTCGTTTCCTTCTACCCAAGTATTACTATTTCTTTTCAACTTTTTAATTAAATTCTTCCGTCGACGAGCCGAAGCAAATTGATCGAAGTAAGCAGTGTTACGGTCTCCTCGCCGAAGCCAACTAACTTTGCCTCTTTGCATCCAGTATATTTCATCTTGCTCAAGAAAATTTTCTATAAAAAGAGACAACTCGTTCTGCTGCATACGAACGTCAGGAGTCAGGGTTTCCCTTGAGAGAAATTCGAGCTCTCTCTGTGCCTTCCTGCGCCTCGAGTGACGCTCCTTCAAAACCCTTCGGTCCGAGGCGTGCATATCCTGATGCACCACAGAGAGTTTAGCACCCACGCCCGGTCCAATGTTACGAGCAGCAGCCTTTTGCCACGCCGTTTTTACAATCTCCTCCACGGTCTCCTCAGCTAGCCACCTTGCCTCAAATTTCCTTCCATAGGATGCTATGTGTTCTGCCACTCCAACAAGGTGGTTAGTGTCCAAGCAGATTGGCCTATGATCTGATTTACCAAGCTCCAAGTTGCATAGGCCTGCCCACGGATGTAACCTCATCCATTCTGCATTTGATACTGCACGGTCTAGCCTTTCCCGCAGTCCACCACGGAACCACGTGAAAACATCACCCTCGTACCCCAAGTCTTCTAGCAAGCAATCAGACAAGGCGTCCTGAAAGGCTTTAAGACGTGATTGTTGTCGAGGGGTGCTATGTCTCGAGCTTGCGTTGGTTTTCCTTGAAGAGGAAAGGGTGATGCAGCAATAGTAGTGTTGGTTTTCCTTGAAGAGGAAAGGGTTTTTTAGAACCAAGGTATCAATCCAGTAGGAGGCTCCTCAAAAGTCCCACGCACCTACGCAAACAAACCAAGAACTCGCACCCAATGCAATAAAGGGGTTGTCAATCCCTTCACAGCCACTTGCAAAAGTGAGATTTTATAGAGATAGT